TCTGTGTTTGCCCGGTCGCGCAAGAGAGTGGCAGGTGCGTATCGTTACGGAGTTCCCCCTCACGCATTCGGCCTGCCATAAAGGGATGGCTTCAGACTACCGTAATCCACAGCAGTTTCTAGTTGGTATATGTCGAGCTGCTATAATAACTGCTTCAACCGCTGTCTGAGCACCAACGGGTTGTGCTCCTGGAACCAAGCGTTGAACACCGACTACAAGGGGTACGGTTTTGATACTTTAAGGGGGCCGGCAATGACATCGGATATCGTTATGACGGCAATTCCAGAAGATGCTGCATCAACTCGCAGGGCAACGCGATGCTGCGCAACTACTGCTTCAACAACATGACCGGCCTCTGCTGGCAGACCTAATTTTTTTAAATGGCTTTTTCGTCACATTGTATAAATTAATGCATGCTGTAGTGTGTAAATTCTTAGTGTGTACATACCAATAATCTTTTTTTTATCCTTTCCAAAGTACGCTGACCGTCCCAGACAAAAATATCTGGACTTTTGAACAAAAAATGGTCCCACAGATCAGGGCAAAAAGCGATAAGCCACGTCGTTCGGCCGGAAAAAACGGGCGATTGTTGCGTTTACGGCGGTCGCGAGTACATAGGAGTAGCGTCTGGCTATAAATAGGCCGGTCAGGGGATCAAAAAGTCAGAATTCTGATCCTCGGACTGCTATCTGCCATGGTGAGCGCAATTTTTGGCTTTTTACGTTTTTTTCCGGGTACGATAGCCTAACTAGCAGGGTCATTCGGAAGTTGCATGGGTGCTGGAAAGAGCAAGCTAGCAGTGTTTCTTGGGGAACCGGGCAGAAAGGAACTCTTTCAGAAGCCTTTACAGGAAAGACAGGCTCGCAGAGATTACAGGTTGGGGAATAGAGGAGCAAGCTAGCAGAAACTCTTTAAGAAGTTGGCGAGGCAAGCTAGAAGAGATTATCACGAGCGCCTTAAATGATAGGCAGGCTATCAGGGATTCTGGAGAATCGGAGGGAAGGGTCGCGGGGATTCTAACGGAATCCTCCAGTCATTGGCAGGCTAGCAGAAATCCCTTGAGAAACTGGAGGCGCTAGCTAGCTTCCATCCATTTTTTAGCGTAACCTCGTTGTGTTCGTGACCCTGTTGGCGGCGGTGATCACCTTCGATCAACTACCAACTGTTCCTACATGGTCGGTTGGACAACGCAGGGATACTTGCAAGGTTTGTTTGGGAGTGAGAGAGAGAGAGTGAGAGGGAGAGAGACAGAGAGGGAGAGGGAGAGAGAGAGGGAGGAGCTAGAAAAACCTATTTTATTCCAGGACTACTGCATGGGGAAGTTCATCGCCGACCAGACGGCCTTCCACTTCCTCGAGAGCGGCTGGGAGATCTGTGTTTGTCCGGTGGCCCAGCAGGGCGGAAGGTTCGTAGCCTGGTTTCGTAGGTTCTCGGTTGTGATTCCGTGACCCACCCTTCATGGTATTTTTCAGCTGGTATCTGTCGAGCTGCTACAACAACTGCTACAACCGCTGCTTGAACACCAACGGACTGTGCGCCTATAACCAGGCGTTGAACACGGACTACAGGGGGTATGGTTTTGGTACTTTAATGGGGGTTGAATAGTGGAAATCCGACCATTTTTTCCTGCTGGGTATCGTTATGACGGCAATTTCAGGAGATGCTGCATCAACTCGCAGGGCAACGCGATGCTCCGCAACTACTGCTTCAACAACATGACCGGCCTCTGCTATCAGACCTAAATCTTTTTACTTGTTTGCAATTAATAGTGGGAATAAAATGATAATATTTCGATAGCTATTACAGTAATAGAGCTCGTAAAACTACAAAAATTCATTTTTTGAGGCGCAGTCCCGAAATCCCTCATCCTACTATATATAAAAAAGTAGTGTCTGTGTGTGTGTGTCGATTTGCATGCAACTTCCGTCTGTATGTCCAGAGGATAACTCAATAGGGGATCAATATTAGGGAACGTATGATACATCATTAGGTGCGTAATGGCTCTGCGATGACTGCACGCATAACAGAATTATCGAAATAAGCTATTTTCGACATTAAAAATAAGTTTTTCTAAAATTTTCGAGAACCCTCTTTGGTAGGAAACAATTAGCATATACCGGAAGTAGAAGAAGCCTATAAAAAGGGATAGAAGGAAATCTTTTTATTTCTGTCAGCTTGATTATGCAAATTTTACAGTTTCATTTGTCCAAACGGGGCCAGGGTCGAAAAGTCGCGAAGCGGCTTTTCAACCCTGGTGCTTTAATAATTCGTTTTTCCTAATTTTTCCTAAATTGTCAGGTATTTCAAAGAACACAACAATCCTTTGAACGCCTAAGCCATTAATGGGTTTGAGAAAACGGGTAAAATGACCTCACGACACAGACAACGCGATAAGCGCAGAGTCAGCCGATCGAAAAACGGGCGGATTGTTGCGTTTTATAGGTTTTGTGAGTAGATTGGAAGCGATGCTTGGTATAAATAGCACAGTTCGCGGGTCGAGAATCAGAATTCAGTCGGACTGGTTTCTGATTCGGCACCTCTGCACTAGTAATGGTACGTTTTTTCAGAATACAGTACGAAAATAGCGTTCGCTAGCAGAAATTCTTTGGGAATTTTGAGGCTAATTTTTAGAAATGGTTGCAGGGATTCTTTCGCAACTTTGGGGAATCAGAGAGATAAATTCTTTGGGGGGCAGAAGGGGAATTAGGCAGAAATTCTTGTGGAAATTACGAGCTGAAACCAAGTCCATTTTTAGCGTTCTCTACTCATCTTCGCTCTCCTAACGGTATCCGTGGTCCCCTGGATGCCCTTGCCGCTTCTCTGGTCGCAGAAACAGAAAAAGGACACCTGCAAGGTCAGTTAGGGAAAAAGATAGATAGAAAGAGAGAGAGAGAGCGAGATAGAGAGAGCGAGAGAGAGAAGAGAGAGAGAGAGAGAGAGAGAGAGAGAGAGAGAAAGAAAGCGAGAGAGCGAGAAAGTGAGAAGGAGAGCGGTAAAGGGCAAAACAGATATATTAGGAGAGGTTTTCGTATTTGTTCAACGTATTTTCGAGCTTTGCGTATGTGGCGAGACCGAGTCGTTGCAATGGTCGATTTAAGCACTTACCAGTCCCTTGAAAAAGCTTTTTTTAGGACTACTGCATGGGCAAGTTCATCTCCGACCAGACGAACTTTGACTTCCAAGCGGCCGACTGGGAAATCTGTGTTTGCCCGGTGGCACAGCAGAGCGGAAGGTACGTAGACTTATAGATCCTTTACCCAAAAATGACCAATTTTCAGTTGGTTCCAGTCGCAGTGCTACAATAATTGTTTCGACCGCTGTCTGAACACGATGGGGGCGTGCGCCTGGAATCAGGCTCTAAATCTCAATTACAAGGGGTAAGGATGTACCAAGTTTGGTGCTTCTCCTTTAACGGAGGACTACTTTCCCGCCAAGCGGCTAATAATGTACAGCGCATGTTCGTAATAATATGACTCAATAACTCACAATTTCAGGAGATGCTGCATCAACACGAAGAACAACGCTACCCTCAAGAACTACTGCTTCAACAACCAGACCGGCCTCTGCTACCAGACTTAAATAATTTGAAGGTTATAATGTATAAATAATGATACGTCGCGTTCCTCGTGTCGCCACCCAACCGAAGGAGAGGTAGATTTGCGCCTTCCACGCTCCTTTAAAGCGTTGTCGTTGTGTCGCGTGTAGCTGTTTAGGGACTTATGAAAAACTCTCAGATGGAGAGAGATGGAGAGAGAGCGAGAGAGTGAGAGAAAACAGAGCAAGAGAAGTGGAGAGCTGGCAGCCGAGTGCGTGAGAGTGAGAGAGTGAGCGAGAGGGAGTGACATTGAGAAGCTGAGAGAGTCGGCGAAAGAGAGAGTGAGAGAGAATGAGAGAGGGAGAGACGTTATCGAGAGGGAGAGAGAGAGAAGTTGTCGGGAGAGAGAGAGAGAGAGAGCGAGAGAGATGCCGAAAACGAGAGAAAATTGACCAGAGATCAAATGAGGGAGGAGATGATCAACGTGCTGAGGAAACAGCGACGCGGTCGTTCGCGAGCACGACGATCTAGCTGAAATGTTTTATTGGCCTTCTCAAAATTACTATTTTGATGCAGCAAAAATCCGCTAAAACATGGAAGTGCAAACTTCAACATTTCACCAACCGTTTCCCTGCACTTTGCCATTTGCGCACATTTTTTTGGATTGCTCCGAATCTGTCTCGCAACACAGTTCCAAAGAACAGCTCTCTATGCAAACCGTTCAAACTCGTAAAAAATGAGATTTGTACCAAATGGCCGAACATAAAAAATGATAAGCGAATGGCCGACGTGTGAAAAAGTTCAAAGGATTGGTTTGCAAAAAAGAGGCGAGCGCGTTGCGTTTTATGGGTTTGTGGATAGTTTGCCAGCGTGCTTTGCTATAAATATGTGGCGGGAACGGGTCAAGAATTAGAATCAGGGCTTGCAGCTTCTTGACGAGTGGAGGAATGGTAGGTTTTTGGAGCGCTTTTCAGTATTGGGGGGACTAGTTTTCCCTAGAATTGATTTTTTCTGATCGAAGTAGAGGGCTAAATGGTTTTTTATTATTTGCTATTTTTATGTTTTAATTGTAAACTGTTTTTGGTATTCCTCACCGCAAAAAATTTTACACATTTTATTAAAAATGGCAAAAAATCGTTTTTAGACAACATTAACCGAGTTTCGACAAAATTTGGGATTTCGCGGTGGGGATTATCGCTGTCAGCATTTAAGCTGTCGGCATTTTGGTTGTGTGGATCTTGGTCGTCGGCATTATGTCTGGGATTCGAAAACGTCGTATTTTTGTTATCGCTAGCCAAAACTAGGTCACCTTAGCTAGTTGGTCACCACCCAGGGGCCGCTGGCAACTTTCGCAAACCGCTTATGCAAATTTCGGTCAGCGTGTGCGGGTTTTTTAGCGGAACGCTGGAGCGCTCTCAACAAAAACACATTTCCAAATTTTTCGCTAACTAAAAACAGCAACTCAATGGCTACGGTAGGCAAAATTATCGCATTTTTTTGTGTTTTAAAGGGATTAGGAAGCTACCAGCCTACTGTAACCAAGTCTATTTTTAGCGCAACTTCATCACTATTCTCGTCGTGACGCTGGTGGCAGCGATTTTCGCCTTTGATCAGCTACCAAGCAACTACTCGCTAAAGCAGAGGAAGACCACATGCAAGGTACGCTTTTTCATATCGTAATCGTTTAAACCTGAGCGTGTACAGCGCAAAAACTACTTTTGTAGGACTACTGCATGGGGAAGTTCATCTCCGACCAGACGGACTTCCACTTCCAGGACGCCGGATGGGAAATTTGCGCTTGCCCGGTTGCTCAGGAGAGTGGAAGGTACGTATTGTCGCGTAGCGTACGGTCAATCGTAGCGTAGCGTATCGCGTCACGTATCCTAACGTACAGTTTGGCGTCGTGCGAAGCATATTCTAGCGCGCAGTTGTGTGTTTCGTAGCCTTTTACCTAGCGTACAGGAGGGGTTTCTATCGTACTACGTCGCGCGTTGCGTAGTATCATGCGTAGCTTATTCCGCATCGTGTTGCGTATCGTACTACGTAACTAGTTTCGTAGCGTTTATCCGTCCCAATCTCTTACAGCTGGTTGTTTAGCTGGTTCAACTCGAAGTGCTACAAAAATTGCCACAAGCGATGCCTGAGCACCAACGGGCTCTGCGCCTGGAATCAGGCGTTGAACACCGACTACAAGGGGTACGTTTTAGAAGCCTTGAAGCGGCTAGGAAGTCAAGAGCAATGAATAGATCACAACGTTCTATGCCCCTTTTAGTCGCTGCTGCTCGAACGCGAACAACAACGCTGCCATCCGCAAGCAGTGCTACAAGAACGGAACTGGGCTGTGCTATCAGACCTAACTTATAAAGCGTGTCTCGATTACTGTAATATGTAAAATTCTATTCATTAAGATAATAAAAAATTACTCGTAAATGTCCAGGACAACAAGCAGAGCGAGAGAGTGTGAGCGATAGAGAGCGGGAAGAGAGAGATTTACAGAAAGCGCGAGAGATACAGAGAGAGAGAGAGGGAGCGAGAGAGAGAAAGAGCAAGAGATAGAAGGAGAGAGAACGAGAGGAGAGAGCGAGAGTGAGTAAGAGTGACAGAGAATGTGATAGAGAGAGAGCGAGCGAGAGAGAGAGAGAGACAGATAGAGAGAGATCGTATCTCAGATCGTACCTGCCATCGTGCCATCGACCGTACCTTTCCGCGTGTTCGTGTTTTGTTGTGTTTTGTACACCACCCGCCTGATAACACGAGAAGAGGCCAAAGCTCAATATTGTCGAAAAGTCACGTAGTTGCGAGTCGAAAAGCCAAATGGCCACACGGGGGCGGAAAACCGAGCTCCAGCGCAATTTTTGGAGTTTCGCTCCAAAAATTAGTTTAGAGATTAAGAAGACAGCCAATGTTGAATTTCCGCATGGTAATTACATGCAGAATACACGCGCCTGTTTCCTTGGCTTAATGGATTAAGCGACGTGGCGTTTCCGTTGAGTGGCGTATGGCGATTCGCGGAGCCTTGCGCGTTGGGTTATGAGGCGGATTTTACATATAACGCCGTTTTGTGCCGTTTGTGTCGCGTTGCGTGCCGCAATGCGCATCGCGTTTTCTGACGCGAGGCGTTGCACATTGCGCTTCGTAGTGCATTGCGTCGCGGCGGAAACGTATCTTGAAATTCCAGACAAAATAAACTACCCAAACAAGCCCTACCTCGACCCACCCAAGCAAAATCAAATAGCCAAAGCACATTTTTACGATGTTCAGTGTTGCCTTTTCTGATCGGCTTCACCCCTCCTCTAGTACTTTTCGCGATAAGCACGCGCTGCCTAAAAACGCTGGACTGAACATGGCGATGGTCACGTAGGCTTGCAAAATACGAAAAAACGGCCCAAACGGCCCCGTGTTTACGATTTGGGGCAATTTTTAGGGAGCTAAAACTCCCCGAAAACCTGACTTTTTGACCGGGATTAGCATAAAATCGAGCCGGGGTCGGCTGCTTTTTGATGCCAAATTTTCCGGCTAATTGGAGGAGGTCAGCGCTGGAGGGGGATCAGATTTTATGTTGAGAATGGGAGTACGAGTACGAGTACGGGGGCGTATAAATACGGTCGTTAGGATGAGAGGACATCTGATTCGAGCTACCGTTCAGCCACCGTATTCGCCATGGTAAGTGAGCGGGGTTACGGTAGTTGGGGAAGGTTTTAACGCGCTTCTTGTTTATGGCTCACAAATATAATCTCAAATTAGATAAAATGCAAAATACGACACTCGTTGGCGGCAAATATGGCTTGATTTTGGCGCAATTACAGTGGTTTGGCTGCGGTCGTTTCGAGCCCACATTTGCGTTCGCTTTGTCAATTTCAGAGGTACTGTAGCCGGGGCAGATTTTAACTTTCAGACGTTCCAAGCCTTTTAAGGAACTTAGGACCATTTAGCCGCTAGTTTGCTGTAAAATTTTTGACAAAATCCTGTCTTCCAAGCGGGGTAGCTGACGCAGCTTTCAGCCTTGTTTTTCGGTGACTCAGCCAATGGTGGTTCTAATTTTATTTTACTGTTTTTTTTTCCATCCTGCATATCGGTGATTACGGTAAATCATCGTTGATCTTTTTGTCTCGCCGGATGTTACATTAGTAGCTTTTGATTATTGCCCCCCGAGCCCGGCACAAAGCGTTCACGGTAGGGTTTAGCCTTAATTTTCATCCTAGGCCGAGCTGGGGCCGGGTCATCTTTTAGTTTTAAGTTTAGTTATCTTTTAGTATCCATCAATTGGGCTACGGTATAGTGGTTAGCTTTCGGCTTTTTTTGCGCACCCGAGGCAGGTGTGCCCTGGTCATTGCAGCATTGAATGATCCGTCCAAATTCGAGCACTTCCTACAGGCAGGGTTACGTTAGTTACGTCGGAAGTTTTAGTCTGTAGTCAACTTGAAGCCTGTAATCTCTTTCCACGTAAAAATGGACTTTTCGAAGTTCCCCAATACGCTCTACCTTGCCCAGAAAACATAAATTTTCAAAAAATCGAGCGAGAAGCTGCAGATACAAAGCCTGAAAATATTCAAATTGCAAAGACTCGTACTTTCCATAAAAAAAACACATCACCGCCGGCTATTTGACGAGTTCTCGAATCTGTTTTTGTTATCGTCTAGCTCGAACTAGGGGCCCGTTCACGCGACTTCGCGTTCACGACTGGGGACGGCAACATACAAGCTGATTATTCAAATTCTCGTGCCGCATGTTGGTTTTTAGACGAACGCACGTAGCTCTCTCCTAGCCCCCCTCACTCGCACAAAAACACATTTCCATTTTAATCGCTGCTCTCGATATAGCCACATGACTTCCGGGATGGACACGGTAAGCGGGATGCCTTTGGACGATATTTTAAAGTTGATGTGAAGAAGGGAAATTTAAGTTTGACTTTGGAGAGTCGACCAACGTTTTGCTGAAGATCTAATTTTTGTGAAAAGAATAGGGATAATTTAACCAAAAAAAATGTGGTTTTTGTCCTAAATTTCAATCTCCCCCCCCCCGGATAATGCCAAAGTCCCGAAATTCGGATAATACAGCGCGAACTCCAGCGGCATACTGTAGAGGACATTGGTAAATCGGCAGATATTGCATCGAAGGTTTTGAGGAGTTTGGGAACTTTTCAGGCATTCTAAATTGTTTTTGCTAGCTTGCCTTACGTCCTTTTTAGATCCCAAATAATCTATGCTAGCCTGCTCCACTTGAAATCTTAAAACCACAAAAAACTTTGCTAGTTTTCTCTAGGCTTTAGGTTAGAAAAATCCTAAATAGTCTCAGACAGCTCCCCCGAGTCCCAGAGCCTGGCTCTCCAATAATCTGTGCTAGCTTGCCAAAAAAGATCAAACGTCCCAAAAAATCCCAAATGACCTTTGCTAGCACGCCCGGCTCTTCGTCCCAAGAATGTCCCTAAGGATCTTTGCTAGCTTAACAAAATCGTTTTCAGCGTAGAAAGGTCCCAACGCCTCTGTAAGTGTGGCTATGCCTTAGCATTCCTAAAGGATCCGGCTAGCTGGCCAAAATCAGGACTTTTGCGGCGGAGAAAGGCGCCAAACGATCTTTGTGAGTTTGCCTAGCCCTCACTGCCCAAAGAAACCTTGCTAGCCTGCCTAACCCCTAGTTCTCCAAACGCATACTCCAGAGTTCAGCACCACCCTGTCAAAAAAAACCCGAATAGGCGCCCGGCCAAGCTATAAAAACGTCGGGTCATCCAGCAAAGCAAAACCCAACGTGACTCCCGACCCCCCGAAAAACCCAGGCCAAAAAACCAAATACACGAAATGGGCCATAAAGCCGGGGGAGGGCGGGAGGGAGAAGCCGGGGGCCCCGGGAAAAAGTGATAAGCCTGGGGCTTCACTGGCTTCACTGGCTTGAGGTCAGAAAAAATCACAAAATTAGGGGTAAAACAGGGGGCGGAGCTTGAACAATTTATCGCAATTTCTCTGCCAGCAGTTCCGCGCCAACTTTTTTTGCATAAAAGGGCCCAAACTGTAGGCAAGGTAGCACATTTTGTCACTTTTTTGCTGAGCCATAACTTTTGAACTATGGTGGGTCCTACGGCATTTAAACGGCTTTGCGAAAACCCACCATTTTTGTTTTCAATTTTTAAACTTCAATTTTTAAAGTTAAAAAAATTTAATTTTAGTTTGCAAGTCTGTGGCTTGGGTCACACCGTAATTATAAGTTTTTAAATGTATTGAAAATGACAGATAGCCCTGCCAATTTGGGTCTTACTGTACTTAACATGGCACCTACCGTATTGTGGAAAAGTTACAGTTAGGCCACTGTAAATGTGCAATCGTTCACTGTACTGTGGTGGAAACTGGGATACTGTACTTTCGCAAACAGAGGATTTGAAGATTGGACATTTTTATATTCTTACGGCTAGTATTGTTTTTAGCGTTTCTTCATCCTCCTCGCCGCCGTCGTTGTGGCCGTTTCCAGCTTCACTGGTCTGCCGTCCACCTATTCGACGAAGCAGAAGAAGAACGCCTGCGAGGTGGGTTAAGGCAATTCCTTAATCGTCTCTGCTAGCTTGCCCTTTGCTAGCTAATTGTTCTCGCTTTTTCAGGACTACTGCATGGGCCAGGAGGAGTCCCTTTCTACCGGATTCCCATTCTACCAGAACGGCTGGGAGCTGTGCAATTGTGCGCCTGCACAAGCTACTGGAAGGTACGGTATCTCTCGTCTCTCTCTCTCTCTCTCTCTCTCTCTCTCTCTCTTTACCCTCCATCTCTATTTTCAGCTGGTCGGCCTCTACCTGCTACACCCAGTGCTACAACCGTTGCTTGAGCACCCTCGGCTACTGCTCCTGGAACTACGCCACCAACACGGACTATCACGGGTGAGCTTGATAGGGAAACCCTTAAACCTAACCTGTAAGACCCTAAAATAGTCGTTAAGCTCCGACCAGGGTTTAATGGTATAGCAAAAGCGATACCTTCCCCCAGAAAAATATGCTTTTTTTTCAGTCTATGCTGCACCAACTCCAACACGACAGCCTCTGTCTGGAAAAAGTGCTTCAAGACCGGCAGCGGGCTCTGCTACCAGGCCTAAGAAGCCTTGCGAAGCCGAAGCTTTTGAGGCTGTATATTGTGCTTGGCCTCCTGATCATACACTGTACAATTAATAAACATTATAATGCAGTGGTTTGGAGGGATATGCAGCAGATTAAAGGGGGCGTGGCAGGAAACGGGATATAGCTTTTGCCCGAATTACCGAAACCAATTGAGCGACGGGAGGCTAAAGAACAACATGGATACAGTATGCCAACGATCCGCTGAGCAAAAAATGCTTTCAAAGAATCGCTGCTAGCGAGCCGGACGGGCCAAGCAAATCTTTCTCTTCCCGGAATGTCTCTGTCTCTCTTTCTCTCTCGCCCTCTGTCTCTCTATCTCTCTTGCTCTCTCTTTCTATCTCTCTCCCTCTCTCTCTCTGGCTCGGTTCGGTACTTTCCATATCTGTAACGTTGTTTACCAAGTACCGTACCCCTCCGAGTCGGTCCGAGTGTTCGTGTTTTTTTTTGAGCCTGTACTACAAGACACTGATAACCCGAGGGGAGAGTTCAGGGGTAGCTTTTTCCTGCGAAAAGTCACGTAGGCTTGAGCCAAGAAAAATTTATGCCGCTCAACATACTTGAAAGGATAGAAACCTGAGGGAAACTTGTTTAAAGGGACTTAGAAGGTAAAGCTGAATATGGATTGGCAATCGTAACCGAATGTAAAATCCCGATAAATAAACTTGGTACTTTCAGATTCCCAGAGAGTGTCGCAAGCTAGTATCAGAGGTCGAATAACGAAAAGTAGGCCTCTCTTTTGCTCTGTCTCTCACTCTCTCTCTCTCACTCTCTCTCTCTCTCTCTCTCTCTCTCTCTCTCTCGCTCCCTCTACCGTACGTGCCGATCCCCCAGAACGTTCCGAGACCCTTATTTTTTACAACCCCAAATCGGCAACTGCCGAAACGAACCTTGACAGGCCAAAAACTCGTGATTTCCTCTCTGACCTCAAAATCCGGCACTAAAAACTCATCACTTTTTTCAGCTGAACGTTAAATCCGTTTTTACATTAGACGGGGGCGTGTTCCGTGTTCCGTCCGCGGAGGATTCATAAATACCGTAACCTGGTGGAGTGGAGATCTGATTCGAGCTCTCGCTGCCCAGTCCAATATGGTGAGTCGGGCGGGGGTACGGTATCTGCGTCAATTTTTCGCTTATCTTAGGTTTGCTTTAGTTCTGGGGTACGGTAATCAAATTAAATTTAGCTAGCTTACGGTTGCTGGGTCTCTTTTTTTGCTTACTTTGGGCGACGGTAGACGCCGCAATTTTTAGGGATTGGGAACGATACTGATAACTTTCGGGTTCAAAATTTTCGAAACTTCCGCTTGCCTTCACGGTCCAAACTACCAAAACCCGATGAAACCAATGCACACGAAAATGCCGTAAATTTTTTTTTGGCGGCAAGCCGGTGCAAAAAGTGATAAGCCTAGACCCCTGGATCGTCAATGGAAAATACATGAAAGAGGGTGGAGCTCGCTTTTTACGAGGGTTGTTTACTTGGGGTCAGGCGCCAACTTTTTCGCATAAATAGGGGGTGGTCAGCGCTGCGAAAAACCCGCCGAGTTTGTCCTCTAGTTTCGTTTCGTCAAAGCTATAGATTATCACGATGGTAGGTCTGGCTGGATTCTGTAACCATTTATGAAGTTGTTCTATTTTTGGATCCAGTTGTTTCCGGTTTATCAGTTCTGAATTTTCGTCAATGACTGTTGGAAAATCCTCCCTAAAATTCTACTTCTGATTTAAAGAGAAGAAAAAGAAAGAGTGAGAGAGAGAGAGAGAGAGAGAGAGAGAGAGAGAGAGAGAGATATAGCGAGTGAGAGAGAGTGAGAGAGAGCGAGATAAAGAAAGTTAGGGAGGGAGAGAACGAGCGAGAAAGCGTGATATATTTTTCTAATAATCTCTGCATTTTCTAATGCATTTTTTTAGCGTTTCTTTATCGTCCTCCTGGCCGTCGTCGTGACCGTCTCCACCTTCACCGGTCTGCCGGCCACCTACTCGACGAAGCAGAAGAAGAACGCTTGCGATGTGAGTTTAGGCGTAGCGTAGCTAGCCGATCGGGCATCAAACTGAATTCCTAAATTTTCTCTGCTAGCTTGCGGAGTAGCACATTTCAATGACCTATTCAGGACTATTGCATGGGCCAGACTGAGTCCCTGTCGACCGGATTCAAATTCCAAGTGAACGGCTGGGAGTTGTGCAGCTGTGCGCCTGCTCAGGCTACTGGAAGGTACGGTAGCTCTTTCTCCATATTTCTCTCTCATTCACCCTCTCTCTCTCACTCTCACTCTCTCTCTCTCACTCACCTTAACCTGTCTCCCTTTTAGCTGGTCCGCCTCCACCTGCTACACCCAGTGCTACAACCGTTGCATAAACACCCTCGGCTACTGCTCCTGGAACTACGCCACCAACGGCAATTACACTGGGTAGGTTTTGATCTTAAAAGGCCTAGTGAGAGGCTTCAGGAAAGCCATACGTCAGCTGAGCGTCACTTAAATCGTCAAAACGTAGTATATTTTCCTCTATTTCCAGTCTGTGCTGCACGACGTCCAACACCGAACCGTCCGTCCAGAAGAAGTGCTTCAAGACCGGCTCCGGTCTCTGCTATCAAGCATAATTGACGAAATTAACCATGTAACAATGACCCCTCCTTTGAGTACAAATAATAAATCAGTCAATCTCAATATTCTAGTCGTAAATATGCAAGAGAGAGAGCGCGAGAGCGAGAGAGAGAGAGAGAGAGAGAGAGACAGAGAGAGAGACAGAGAGAGAGAGGGAGAGAGAGCTGGTAAGTGGGACAGAAGCCATTTTAATATACCTGAGAAATATAACAAATCCCTCTTCAAAATTTTCTGGAGCCTGATTTTGCCTTCATTCATAACTCAATGACCGCGTTAAAATCCATGAAAATTTACTAACTTTCCGTTACTTTTTAAACTTCAAATCCGAGCACGCACGCGCATTGTTTACGTAGTACGAGTCCAGCTCATGCACGTGTATCGTACGGTCTTGCCCGCCAAGACCTGATAACCAAATGGCTCCCAAAATTCCGAAAGGCAACCTGCCATTTGTCACGCTGTCTTCCTCCCCCTCACTCACTCTCTTTCTCTCTCTCTCTCTCTCTCTCTCTCTCTCTCTCTCTCTCTCGCTCTCTTTCGCTCTCTCTCTTTCTCTCTAGCGCCAATCAACCTGAAGCTGAAGTCAAGATGCATCTCAACCCACGAATTTCTACTTCCGAATCGTTGTTGACCAAGTACAGTACCCCCGCCGATTGGCTCCGTGTGTGATTCTCTGTCCTTCGGCGAAAAAAAGTCACTTAGGCGTGGATGGAAAAAAACTGTGATGGCAAAGACGCATGCAAAAACGTGCGGAATCTGACGCCACGGCACTTTAAAGGGATTCAGAAGGCCGAGTCGCATATGGATTATCTATCGTAACCTAATTTAAAGCGCTGATAAAGTAAATTCAGCACTTTAAGATGTCTAGAAACTGCAGCAAGCTGCTAGCATCAGAGGACAAATAATGAAAAATAATTCTGTATGCCTCTCTCCCTCGCTTTCTCTTTGTCACTTCTCTCTCTCTCTCACTTTCCCTCTCTCTCGCTCGCTCTCTTGCGCACAAGCTATCTCTCTTTCTCTGTCTCTCTCTCCCTCTCTCTCTCTCTCTCTCTCTCTCTCTCTCTCTCTCTCTCTCGCTCCCTCTACCGTACGCGCCGATCCCCCAGACCGTGCCGAGACCCTTATTTTTTACAACCCCAAAACGGCAACTACCCAAACCAACCTTGACGGGCCAAAAACTCGTGATGTCTGTCTGGCCCTAAAAATCCGGCACTAAAAAGTGATCACTAATTTTTGGACCGGGACTAGAATCCTATTTTATGCGAGGCGTGGGCGTGTGGGCGGAATCGGACCGTCTCACGTTCTGTATAAATACGGTAGCCCGGAAGGGGAGGGCATCTGATTCGAGCTCCAGCTCCAGCCATCCAGCCCAATATGGTAAGTCGTAAAGGGATACGGTATTTCGATCAATTTTTAGCTTAATTTGAGTTTGCTTTAATTTTGCGTGTACGGTAGGTAGGAAACATTAGAGTTTCCGATTTTTTGCCAAATTTAGCCAGGCTACAGTTGGGGATCTCCTTATCAACTAACACTGTTACGGTAGTGGGGCAACTTTTAGCATAAAATTTAAGAAGCACTACGGCAACGAATTCTAGCCATCCAAAATCTCGACAGTCCCGACAACTAAAACCCCAACCAAATCCAATTTTTTTCCTTTGCTGGGAGTACGGTAGCTGGTGCATCCTTTAGTTTTTAGCTCGCCGGAGCTAGCAGAGAGAGAGAGAGAGAGAGAGAGAGAGAGAGAGAGAGAGATTTAAGGGGGTGGGACGACGAAATCATTTAATTTAACTTAGGGCTTTTCTCATATTCAAGCGAGAGAGAGAGAGAGAGAGAGAGAGAGAGAGATAGATTACTAATCCCTATTTCGCAATGCATTTTTTAGCGCTTCTTCATCGCCCTCGTCGCCTTCACCGTGACAGTTTGCGCCTTCACCGGCCTACCGTCCAACTACACGACGTTGCAGAAGAAGAACGCTTGCAATGTGGGTTAAAATGCGTAGGATAGTCTAGTACAAGTAGGTCAAAACTCCCAAATGGCCTCCACCAGCTATCGTCACTTTTTCAGGACTATTGCATGGGCCAGACTGAGTCCCTGTCGACCGGGTTCAAATTCCAAGTGAACGGCTGGGAGTTGTGCAGCTGTGCGCCTGCTCAGGCTACGGGAAGGTACGGTAGCTCTAGCTCTCTCTCTCCCTCTCTCTCTCTCTCTCTCTCTCTCTCTATTCTCGCTCTCTATCTCATTCCCTCTCTCTCTCTCTCTCACGCGCGCTCTCTCTCTCTATTCTATATTTTCAGCTGGTCGGCCTCTACCTGCTACGCCCAGTGCTACAACCGTTGCCAGAACACCCTCGGCTACTGTGCCTGGAACTACGCCACCAACACTGATTACACTGGGTACGGTTTTTGTCGTGATAAGAAGTGTAAAGCCAGAAATGACTTGATCTCTCCGATATCACCAAGCTTCGTAAATCCTTCCAAATCTTAGGTTGTGCTGCACGACGTCCAACACCAACGCGACCGTCCAGACTAAGTGCTTCAAGACCGGCTCCGGTCTCTGCTATCAAGCATAATTGCTCGATACAAAAGTTGTGTCCGCACTGGGATACAAATAATAAATATGTCCGCATATTTCTGTCGTAGATATACAAAAGAAAGAGAGAGAGAGAGAGAGAGAGAGAGAGAGCGAGAGAGAGCGAGAGAGAGAAAGATATGGAGATAGCAAGTCACAGACACACATAGAAAATTTTGTCCAATTTTCATTTTCGAATCTGACATTGATTTTTTATTTTTTTTAAATGATGATAACTATGCATTTCCAACAGATCCATAAAAAACTCTCAAAAATTTTACTTCCGGAAACGCTAATTAAAAAAACCTTTGGCGATAAGAAGTTCTTTTTCCCCCGTGCTAAAGCCACGTCTTTGCATCTTTCCGAAGTTTTTATAGGAAGACAGGCCTGGAGTACGCGCACATACTCTTTACGTCGCAGACCTTCCAGTACATCGGCGTGTTTCGTACCCTTTTGCGCCCCAAAAACTGATAACCAAATGGCTCCTGAGATTTCGAACAATAACGTGTCATCAACATGGTTTTTCTGGCACTTTGTCTCGGCTTTTGCCTTACTCTCTCTCTCTCTCTCTCTCTCTCTCTCTCTCTCTCTCTCTCTCTCTCTCTCTCTTTCTCTCTCTCTTTATCTCCCTGGGGCCAACCTGAAGCTGACGGGAATAGTAAGATGCACCTCCGCCCATAGATTCCAATAGCTTCGAACCCGTATCGTTGCTCATCGAGTGCCCTACCGCTCATGGTCCATACGCGCGTTTGTGCTTTGTTGTAGCCTGTACTACAAAGCGCTGATAAACCGGAGGAAAATCTAGGGATCGCTTTTTTCAACAAAAAAAATCAATCAATCAAAAAACTGTGCTGACATAAATGCATGCAACAGCCTTGAACGGAACTCGAAAGGCAGAGATGGATATGGATTACGCATCGTAACTGAATGTAAAGTGCAGATAAAGTAGAAGAATATTCAGCTGTGTCTGATGTCTAAAGACTGTAACACGCTAGCAGCAGTGGAAGTAGGACGAAATATAATTATCTGTTTCTCTCCCACTCTTTCTCTCACGAGCTCTCTCTCTCTCTAGCTTCTTTCTCACACACGCTCCCTAGCTCTGTCTCTATAACCCTGTGTCTCCCTCTCTCTCTCCATTTCTCTCTCTCTCTCTCTCTCTCTCTCTCTCTCTCTCTCTCTCTCTACTACCGAACTACCAAAACGGCCCAGACCAAAAGCTCCTGATTTTCTGTCTGGCCTCAAAATCCGGCACTAAAAGGTGATCGCTAATTTTTCTATCGAAAGTTAAATCCTATTTTATGCGAGGCGTGGGCGTGTGGGCGGAATACTAACCGTCGGTGGTTTTGTATAAATACGGCAGCCTTGAAGGAGAAGGTATCTGATTCGAGCTCCAGCTCCAGCCATCCAGTCCACTATGGTAAGTCGATAAGGGTTACGGTAGCTGGGCCGATTTCTAGGTTATCAAATTTCGATATTCCCAAATCTTAGCTTTCTGACGGCACCGCAAAAACTGATCAAATCTTGTAATTTTCTTTAAAAATTGATAATCGGAATCGAAAAATGTAGTTTGTCGAAAAATGTCTATTTGTTAATAAAATTTGTATGAAATGGATGCCTTCTGGGAAAAACTGTATAGAAACCTCGCAAGAGCATTTTAGCGTTTCTTCATCGCCCTCGCCGCCCTCACCGTGGCCGTGTCCGCCTTCACCGGCCTGCCGTCCACCTACACGCCGAAGCAGAAGAAAAAAGCTTGTGATGTGGGTTAAAGTCTATCGCCACTTGTTTCCCAAATATTCTCTGCTAGCTATCGCCACTTTTTAGGACTATTGCATGGGCCAGCCCGAGTCAATGTCGACTGGGTTCAAATTCGAGCTAAGCGGCTGGGAGCTGTGCAACTGTGGGCCTGCTCAGGCTACTGGAAGGTACGGTATCTCTCTTTCTCTCTCTCTTTCTTGCTCTCTCTGTCTCTATCTCTGTCTTTCTCTCGCTCTCTCTGGCTCTCTCTCGCTGTCTTTCTCTCGCTCTATGTCTTTCTCTCGCTCTCGCTGGCCATCTCCCTAGCTCGCTCTCTCTCTCTCTCTCTCTCTCTCTCTCTCTCTCTCTCTGTCTATCTCGATTTTCAGCTGATCTGCCTCAACCTGCTACACCCAGTGCTACAACCGTTGCATGAGCACCTTGGGATACTGTGCCTGGAACTACGCCACCAACACTGACTATCACGGGTAACCCTTTTGTAACGAAAAGATGTCATCGGCCGCAAATCGGCATTAATAAGATCTAACGAAGCCAACTTACATCTAGAAACCTCTTTCAGCCTGTGCTGCACCAACTCGAACACGACGACTTCAGTGTGGAACACGTGCTTCAAGCCCGGCAGTGGACTCTGCTACCAAGCATAATCGCCCAGTGCCAAAAATCTGGCCGTACTTGAGCCTATTAATAAATATATCAGCATCTTTTGGTCGTAAGTATACAAAGTAGGCAAGACCAGACCAGAGAAAGACGTGCACGTACTGTTTACGTAGTCGACCTTCCAGTACATCGGTGTTTTCCGTACCCTTTCGCGCTGCAAATACTGATAACCCATTGGTTGCCAGGAATCCGAATTTCTCGCCCTCTCGCTTCCTCTCTATTTATTGTCAAATCAGAATACTACCCAAGACCGACCAAAAAACCAAGATCCAACAAGAACGGCGATTCTTGGCCATCCCCAAAAAGCGATAAGCCCGTAGAGGTCGGCAGAAAAAATCATAAGAAATGGGGGCGGAGTCTGCGGTTTAACCAGAACTGTTTACCTGTAGTTTGGCGTCAACTTTTTTTTGGCATAAATAGGGGGCCAAGCTTGGTAAGAAATAACGCATTCTCTGCCAAGCCTACGCTTCGAATCATGGTACGCCTTCGCCGGTTACTGTAGCTGAATTCTGGCCCATTTGGTCCCATTTAATTTCCTGGATTTTCAGCGCTTTTCATCGTGCTTATCGCGCTTATCTTGGCCGTTTCCGGCTTCACCGGGCTGCCGTCGACCTACTCGACGAAGCAGCTCAAGGACGCGTGCGCGGTGGGTTTCAAACTGGAATAACCCAAACAATCTCTGCTAGCTTTCCATACTTCTAATTAAGGGGAGCAGGACAGTCGACGCATAAAACTAGCATAAAACGGGCGCTTTGATGAAAAGAAGCTCTGCTTTAGCTCAAATTGGCTCTGCTAGCTTCCCTCAACTTTACTATGCTTAAAATAGATCTTTTACGTCAAAAAAATATCGTTATCAAGAAAAAAATCCTAAATTGTCTTTGCTAGCTTTATTTTGCCCCTGTTTACTTACGTTGTTATACCTTCCAGTATTACTGTAATGGCCAAGACGCATCCCTTTCCACCGGATTCCCCTTCTACGATGACGGATGGGAGTTGTGCAACTGTGCGCCTGCTCAGGCCACCGGAAGGTACCGTATCTCTCTCTACTCGCTCTCTCTCTCTCTCTCTCTCTCTTTCTCTCTCTCTCCATCTCTATTTTCAGCTGGTCGGCCTCAACCTGCTACACCCAGTGCTACAACCGTTGCATCAGCACCCTCGGCTACTGCTCCTGGAACTACGCCACCAACACTGATTACACTGGGTAATTGTTTGTATTAGAAATCGCTAAAACCAAGCCGGGATCGGGAGCTACTTGCTTAAGAATAAGAAAATTATATACTTTTTAGCCTCTGCTGCACCAAGTCGAACGTGACGGCCTCGGTGGAGAAGAAGTGTTTCAAGGAGGGAACTGGGCTGTGCTACCAGGCCTAAATGATCATCCCTAATAACCTTTGCGTGCTGTAAATATAATAATAAAGCTCTGCATACCACATAGTGTACGAAATACACTCAAAATATAGCAGCGATAGAAAGAGCTAGAGAGAGTGAGGAAAGACCGAGAGGGAGAGAGAACTACGAAAACAGAGAGAGAGAGAGAGAGAGAGAGATAGAGATAGAGATAGAGAGACAGAGAGAGAGGGCGGGAAGTGGGGAAGTCATAGGAGCGAGAAGACTGCTCGCTTTCTATCTACGGCTAACTAGGAAAGATCATTAGGGAGCGTGGCTCGGTATAGCCATTTTTAGACCGCAACACGCGCATGAGAAGGCCGAATTGTCGCAACAATTGGGTCTCGGCGTGCGCCTGGCCGACCGGAGTGATAAGCCCTCACCCAGACGTCGTTCAGAACACGACTGGGGCATTTAGGGGCGGAGCTTACCGTTTTACGAGGGTTGTTTCTTTGAGGTTTCTTTGAGGTTTCTTTGAGGGCACCGCGGAACGCTTGATATAAATAGGGGTCAAAGCACAAGGAAAAGCCATTCAGTGCTTGATATTCCAGCCTGCGTCTGCTTTCTGAATTATGGTGAGTTTTCGGTTACTGTAGCGGTTGAATTCATGATTTAATTTTAAATGCAAAGAAACCAACAGTTTTTCAGCGTTACTTCCTCCTCCTCGCCGCCCTCGTGTTGGCCGTCGTCGGCTTCACCGGGCTGCCGTCCACCTACACGGCAAAGCAGAAGAAGAACGCGTGCGCGGTGGGTTTAAAGGCGGGGTGACAGCGGGGTAATCCAGCGTTCAAAATCCCAAATTGTTGCTGCTAGCTTGCCCTTAGGATGTTATATTTATGTTTGAGTTTTTAGGACTATTGCAATGGCCAGGTTACCTCCCTTTCCACCGGATTTCCCTTCGAAACCGATGGATGGGAGCTGTGCAACTGCGGTCCTGCTCAGGCTACTGGAAGGTACGGCATCTCTCTTTCTCTCTCTCTTTTTCGCTCTCTCTGTCATTCTCTTGCTCTCTCTGGTTCTCTCTCCCTGTCTTTCTCTTGCTTTCTCTGGCTCTCTCTCTCTCTCTCTCCCGTCTTTTGCTCTATGCTTTCTCTGCTCTCCTAGCTCTCTCTCTCTCTCTCTCTCTCTCTCTCTCTGTCTTTACCTTTCTTTTTCTCTTTCTATCTCTGTTTTTAGCTGGTCTGCCTCTACCTGCTACACGTCGTGCTACAACCGTTGCATCAGCACCCTGGGATACTGTGCCTGGAACTACGCCACCAACACCGACTACCACGGGTGCGTGTTTCAAGATTTTAAGGGATTGAAAGACAATGATTTAATCATAATAGAAGACCCTAGTCCCAGTATCATATTTCACTTTCAGCCTGTGCTGCACCAACTCGAACACGACGGCCTCGGTCTGGAACAAGTGCTTCACGCCCGGCTCTGGACTTTGCTACCAGGCTTAAAGGCGAACTGTAAATTATCGCATCGCGATTCTGTACAAATAATAAATGCTGCTATCTATTTATGACCCCTCAACCGCACCTAAAAAAACAAAGCAAATCACACCGATCTGAAAACATGCTCAGCAGCACCTCCTTGGGGATGTTGCCGGCAAGTCGCGTTAGGGTCGGCGACTAGGTGCGTATGAAGATGCATTTGCTGGGACAGTTTCTTACGGAAGGCGGTGTGGAGGAAACATATGCAGAACCGAAGACCCACTAACTTATCGCAAAAAAAATAGAAAACTGCGAAAAAGATGACTTCATCCAAAACTTTGACAGGCAAACCCGCGAAGATCATTGAGGAATTGGCCAAGCAAGCATATCGGATGCAATTAGCTCTCGCGGATTCACGGGGGAAACTAGCAAAGCCCCTTTGGGAAGCTTTAGAAAACGTAGCAGGTCTAAATTATGCAGAGTATGGCGGGCAAACTAACAAAACGAGGTGATCAATGTGAATTTTTAATGCAAAACGAGGCAGGCAGGCAAAGATCCTTCGGGAACGAGAGAACTGCCTCTCTCCAAAGGCAGGCTGGCAGTGATCCTTTGCGAAAAATCGGGCGTGCTGAAAAGAAACTTCTCGAGCGTTGAGAAAAGAAAAGTTGAGTAGTTCGCGGGTTTCGTGGCGCGCCTTCCGTGCATGAAGAGCTCGCGCTGGGTGATGCTGAGCACGTTCCAGGCTTTGCAGCATGTTGCCAAGCGTACGTCTGCACGTAGCGGGAGATGTTGTGTTTTCCGTGTCAAGCTTTGTGTGGGTGTACACCAAAACACACTGGTTTAGCCAGATTTCAACTGACTTTTCGTCGGATCCCTATAAAATGGGATGATCTTCCGCCCTCCACCGACGATTTCGATGCTAATTGCCCGGGCGAACCAGCCTGAAAATACAGTTTTATGTTGCGTGTGGGTGGCTGGAGAGCAAAAGTTGCAGCCGGGGGGTTTGCATAAATAGAGCGATCCGGAAAGGATGGGCATCTTATTCGAGCCACCGTTCGGACAATCCAGCTGACAATGGTAAGTGGCAATAGGGGTACGGTATCTGGGTCAGGGTATAGGGTTTGTCTTCCACCTATGGAGTTTATATAGCGAGTACGGTAGATCGGATAACGTTTAGCCTGAAGCTTTTTTACTTCACACTTTCATTTTTCACTCCGATTTTTATTGCGCTGCCTTCCGAGTCCCTTTAAAACAAGCTTTCGGTCGACTAGACCATCTAGTTTTGGGGTTTACGATTGTTCTAGACACGGTAAAACGTTGCCGATTCTTATCAAACCTCCAACAAAAATCGAGAACTTTGGTGAACACCAAAAGGGGAACCGGGTTATCTGGTGGTCAGGATTTGCAACTCTGATCACTCACCATAAAATATCGTTCGATTCGAAAGTCGGGGAACCGGCTCGGTTCTTTGATTTTCGAGTTCAAGGGGCAAATGCATAATTTTAGAATTCGAGCGTATCAAAAAGCGCCCTTTGCAGTGGGAGTTCTTCATTTTAATCATATAAATTTACACATTATTACACTTCTAATTTATTCAAAAATTCACACATAATTCTTTAAGGAACTTTTCTTATTTGAAAGCTCTCAAAAAGGCCAGTTTTAGGTTCTATAATTTGTGAATTCGGTTCTTGCGCGTTATCGGGGGGGAGTTCCGATTTTCATCATAACCCCGAAAATGCCTAGTACTGTAATAAATTTTTTTGCTAACGTTTTTATTAACATTTTACCATACTCCAAGGGACAAACATTAAAAAAAACTTGAAAAATATTTTGTCGGGCGTTTTAGCTCAAAATCTCGAATTACGAAAGAATCTGATTGCTGACCCGTTCTACCGTAACTACCGTAACTCTACGGATTTTTCTGCCGCACTACCACAAAAAAAAGATTAAGTAATCGACCCCAATTGGTCACTACGTACATAGCCCAGACTCGTACTCTACCACGCTGATAACTCGATAGATCAAGTACCGCTATCGCCCGGTTAGAGACACGCTTTTGGCCACCCAAAAAATCCGTGAAAAACGCGACGGCTAGCCGGGGCTTCGGGAAAAACGTGGCCCCATTTGGGGGGTCGGTCGTAAAATTCTGAGGGTGGAGGGCAAAAAAACGATAAGCTTTTGTGGAGTTCTGACCCCGGGAAAGCGCAAAAAAGGAGGGAGGGACGTGCCAAAAATTATTTTTTAAGCACAAGTTACTTGAACCTACCGTAGCCACCGTGCAAAAGTACGCTAGACTACGGTAGAGTACGCTAAGGTACGGCAGAGTACAGAAGAATACACCGGAATACGCTATGGTAAAAAGCGTCTGCGGCTCTAAAAAATTAGATTTCGTCTAAATTTTAAAAAGCAAGGACTTTAGACATTGAAAATTTGGTTTTTATTTATTTTCAGTAGAATGATTTTTTTATATATGAAAGTGTCGGCGAGACTTTAATTTAAATCAAAGAATTTTTAAGAATTTAATTGATTTAGGCTTCAAGGCTACTCAAATTCTCCATCACTTCCATACTTTTTTTAGCGTACCTTCGTGCTGCTCGTCGCCCTCGTCGCGGCCGTGAACGCCTTCACCGGCCTGCCCTCCACCTACACCACCAAGCAAAAGAACGACGCATGCAAGGTGGGCAGGTTAAGGGCCAAGAAACGCCAGAATCGATCCCGGTTGTCGACTAGATCTTGACAACCGCGCGCAGGTCCGCACAATACTGCGTCCAAGCCGGTTCTGAGCAAATTCAGAATTTTAGCAAATTTTATATTTAAATTTTTAATTTTTATAGAATTATAAAAAAGTATTAATTATTTATAAATAGTCATTTATATTTATATTTTATGTTATATTTTAGCAAATATAACGAGCTTTCGCGAAAAAAAAAAAAGTAATTTTTCAGGACTACTGCATGAACGCCGGTGACCCGTCTCCCCTGACCGGATTCGCGTTCGCCAGCAACGGCTGGGAGCTGTGCAACTGTCAGGTGGCCCAGCAGAGTGGAAGGTAAATTTGGCATAAAGTTATCAAAATGTAATTATCATGAAAAACTAAGTAAGAAAACGAAATTTCAGCTGGCTCGGCTCGAACTGCTACAACCAGTGCCACAACCGGTGCGTCAACACCCTCGGCCAGTGCTCGTGGAACCAGGCGCTGAACACCGACTACAAGGGGTACGTATGGAAAGATCATTTCTGCCAGATCTCCTTTAAACATCTTTCACCCTCCTTTTCAGCCCGTGCTGCTCGACCTCGCAAACGAACACGACGGTGTTCAACCAGTGCTACAAGAACACCGCCCCAGTCGGCCTCTGCTACAGCACTTAATTGCGATATCCTGCCCGCAATCTGCTTTCTGGAACCCCCAGAATTTTGAATAAAGCATGAAAACGCAACGTTGGATCCAACAATGCAAAAATGCGGCCGTTTTAGGAGAAAGAGAGAGAGAAAAAGAGAGAGAGCGAGAGAGATAGAGATAGAGAGAAAGAGAGGAAGAGAGAAAAAGAGAGATAGAGAGAGACAGAGCGAGAGAGCGAGAGAGAGATAGAGATAGAGAGCGTGAACGAGAGCGGCAGAGAGCGAGAGACAGAGAGAGAGCGAGGGCGATCGATATAGAGAGAGACAGAGGAGCGTCGGAGAGAGCGAGAGCGAGATAGAGATAGAGAGAGTGAACGAGAGCGGCCGAAAGAGCCAGAGACAGAGAGAGAGCGAGAGAGAGAGCGGTTTGCACGCCTAACCGATAGCACTCGTATGCTGCCATCCAGTATCACAACTCGCAACAATTCCAGATTCTTTGCAGAGTCACGTCTTCTTGATGTCAGCGCCAAAATACCCCAATAACCGAAAAAAATGGCTACAACGCATTTTCGTGAAGCGCACGCCCGGAATGGCCATAAAACTGAGTCACGAAGCACTGAAAAAGGCGATAAGCCGGCTTTGACCCCGGCAAAAAACCAGCGATTTCCCAAGAAGGACCGAAAAATTATTCAAAAATTGCAGAGAGAGAGAGCGAGAAAGAGAGAATGAGAGAGAGCGAGAGAGAGATAGGGATGGTGAGATAGAGGAAAGGAGAGAGAGCGAAAGAGAGCGAAAAAGAGAAAAAAGAGAGAAAAAGACAGTAAGATAGTACAAAAGTGATCTCTCACCCGAAAACCACCGGAACCGATCTTCGACCCTTCACTAACCACCTTCGTGACAATTCTAGATTTTCAGAATCCACTTCCGCTAAAAACTTGTACTTATCCGGTTCTTTGTGCAGCACCAGCAAAATGCTCCAGCCTGAAAAACTGCAGAATTGCGCGAAAACTGTGCTAAATCGCCTCCAGGGATTTTGGAAAAGTGTTGTTGTTCGTTGAAATCGCTAGCTTTTTCTGGACTACAGCACCTATCAAATTTTCGCTTCGCAAAATGTCGAGTCACTAAATTCTAGGCATCGAATTAGACCGGGAACGCCCCTGAATTCAACAAGCGGATTGCACGAAGTCGGTCCAAATTGGGGGCTTGCGAGGGTACCAATTAGGTGATGGATCGGCCAGATGATGATTGGCAAACGGTCGAAAATACTTAATTTTGGGCGGTACTTATTGGACACTACATCGGCGTTGCAAATAGCAATTACGGTTCCACGTGTTTTGACGAGGAAATTGCTTTGGACTTTTGTTAAGCGATCGGATGTTTCGATTGCCGAAAGAGCCCCTGCTGCATTTCGACGGTTTCTGGAAGCAGGTCTTCCAGCTCGCTTCATGCTTTTGCATCCACCTTTTTTTGAAGGACGGAGCGTTAATAAAATCCCTGCTTGGTGCTTCGGTTTCTAAAGCCTTTGCTAGCTTGCTAGCAGCTGACCCGAAATCGCGCGTACTGGCTGTAAGCTTCCCAACGCATTTCTGACAGATGTTTTGCTTCTCAAACAATTTATGTAACTCACCATTTTGTTTCGAAACCTCCGTTCCGAAGGAATTTTGGATGTCGGCATTATGGCTTTGGGATGTTGTCGATATTTTGGCTATCGGAGCTTAGCTGTCGGCGTTTTGATCGTCGGGATTTTGGCCATCAAGATTTTTAGTGTCGGGATTTTGGCTGTCGGTATTATCGACGTTTTTCTCGTGTGAATCTCGCAGAGATCTGCCCGAATTCATCGATTTCTGATCACCAAGATTTTCTAAATCGTTTAGCCCATCGAACCGAGGAAAACAGCTTGAATATGTCGGCATTTTGGTTGTCGGGGTTTTGGCTTTTGGATTCTGATTGTCGGGATTTAAGCCATCTGCTTTTTGCGTTGCATGGCAATCTAGCAAAGATTCCTCTGGAACGCTTGATCCTCTTTTCCTCGATTCTTGATCTCCAAAATTTTTCGAATTCGTTTAGCCCATCGAAACCAAGAAAACAGCGTGAATAGTAGTCTAGCGTAGTATTGCGGATCAGACAGCCAACCGCCTCAAATCGCATTCAGACGCATTCTTCAATCGCTTTTTGGGCGAAATCCCCTTCCACGCCGATGCGCCAACGTGTTTTGCGGCAAAATTCTTTATACCCCGCAATTTGTATAGGGCAAGTTTTGGAAATTTCAAGTTCCGCCGGATTAGCCCCGTTGGTTTATTCGGTTCAGGGCGTTCCGTCAAAAGGAGTGCCGTGAAATTGGGCCGGAATCGGGGCATTTTTGAAGTTTTTGAGTGGGCTGACACATCGTAGTCTACCGGAATCTGAGGGATACTTATAGCGGATGGATGGTGGATACGATTCACATTTTGCTCCTGGCTTGCTGCATTTTCAAATGGGGGCATTTCTAAGTTCCACTTTTGGCTATTTAATAAGGCAAATACGGTGGGCTGCTCTAGAATACCGTAGAATTAGAAAAAAATCGGAAAAATCGCACGTCATTCCGCTACGGTAGCCTTCCAATCTAACCATAGAATTTTGATAGGAAACACCTGAATCTCGACAGCTTAAATCATTCCCAAATCCCGAAATCATCCCGAAAACTTAAAAACCAACAAGCGAAAAGCCGCACAAAAAAAATCCCGCCAGCTAGAATACCTACCTCAAAATGCCGACAGCCGAAACAGCGCTAGCCGACATGCCAAAGTACCTAATATATGGCTTACTATCCTTTGCGTCGGGGTTTTTACTGTCCGGTTTTTGGCTTGTCGGTTTTTAACTTGTCGGGATTTAGCCATGTCAGGATTTAGGCTGGGAGATCTTGGCCTGACTGTAGCTTTCGGGATTTTGGTTGTCGTGATTTTTTGTCCAGACTTTTGCGGTCGGTACTTTGGCTGTCGGTATTTTTACCTCTCCGGATTTTCGCTGTCGGGATTTTGGCTTCCGGGTTTTGGTTGTCGGTATTACACTTTGTTAAAAATTATTCCCCTGGTGGCTCCGTTACCATAATACGACTGACCTACCGTGTCCCTTCCAGGTCGACCATCAAGGATGGATACAGAACCCTACGTTGACCACAACCCACAGATAGCCGGAGTGCTGGTGTTTGTGGTAAGTGAGAGAGGGATTGAGAGAGAGGGAGAGAGACGAGAGAGAGGAGAGAGAGAGGGGGGGGAGGGGGGGGGGGACGAGAGGCGTGAGATCTTAACGTCATACTACGTTTAGACCTCATTCCTCGGCATCATCGCCAACGGGATCGTCGTCTTCTGGGTCTGCAGTCTGCCCTCCATGCAGGTAATTAAAATTGGAATAATGCTTAGATAACTTCTTTTACGGCATTTTTTCAGAGAATAGTATATCTTTAAATCATTCTGTTTCAGACGAGTTTTGGGCGTATGACGCGCAGTCAGGCCACCGCCGACTTCCTCCACGATTGGTCCTTCTTTCTGTATATGGCTCCAATGTTAACTTTGTAAGTTAGTGGCGTAACTACGGAGCAAAACGGCATTGAAATAGATCGAAAAATCGAGTTTCACATTGCTAAAGTAAAACGCGGTGGCTTACGGTGGAGCAACCTGGAGGAATTACGGTATAAGACTTTTGTAAATACAGCAGAAAAACTAATTAAAAAAAGAAAAAGAACCTAGAACTACTGTAGAAGAGTGTGCGGTGGCGCTACGTATGGATAAGATTGCGCGATTACGGTATAAAACTCGATGTGTCAGTATTCCAAAAAAAGTGGAAAATTGGCATATCGGGCAAAAACATCGACGGAAAACTTTAAAATCTGTTACAACCTCTCGTGCGATCAACCACCCGGTTAATTTTTATTTTTACAGTAACCTCAAATCCTGGAACAGCCACGACGTTTCGAGCATCTGCGGGCACTTGTTGCTGATCTTCTACGACGCCTGCAACGCGTGGTACCGTATTTCATTGTCATTTTTCGCCTGGATTTTTGCTAAGCCAAATTAATTTTTCTGTGTGTAGTATATAGCGATTTTTTATTGTTCATTAAGGCTTTATTTATTAAATTACTAATTTTTACCTTTTTCCCTTTACAGCCACTTCTTCATGGCCCTGAACCGGACGTGCGCGATTTTCTTCCCGATCCAGTACCCCCATATCTTCTCGCATCGAAACGTGACGATCATGAACACGTTCTGCTGGCTGTCGGCGATTGTGCCGAGTATTTGGACGTACCGTATTGGTAAGTCATTTTACGGATTAAAGGGACTGGCAAGGCACGGCCATGGATTTTTTTGATTATGGATTTCCCACGAATTTTGCGTCGTCCGCACACGACATTTTTTAAGCAACAGGATCTATAGTCATGCCTTTCCCGTTCCTTTAAAATACCGAAACCTAAAAATCTAATTTTGCTCATAAAAAGCACAACCTTACCTCAATATTGCGGTGCCCGGTGGCGTGGTGGCGGGACGGGTCAAAAACCCTTTCCATCTCCCACCGGCAGCGGTCTCGTGGTGTAGTGGTTATCACATCTGTCTAACACACAGAAGGTCGGCGGTTCGATCCCGCCCGAGATCATTTTGCTTTTGCTTTTTGGGAAATTGGTCGAGAGTGGGTTTCTGAGCACTGGAATTCGCTTCCTTTTTCTTGTTTCGCACCGATCGATCATGTTATTGCTGAAAATTGAAAACTTTAGCTACTTTTACCTAGATTTACATAATCGAAAAGTTTTTACCTTTTTTACCTTCAGCTTTTGCTTTCGGGCAGCCTGGAATTACTCAAATTTACCAGTTTCGCCGCATAAAATTTATATATATTTTTTTAGCGGACTGCCGTTTCTACTACCTCGACGCAATCTGGGGATACACGTTTGACGACAATCCGCTGTGCGGGAAGATTGGGTGGTGAGTGGGGGGTTCAGGGAGGGGGCGAAAAAATACCGACATTGAAAGCCCTGACAGCCAAAATACCGACGTGGG